TGACAGTACTTTTGCGTTTCGGACAAGCTTTACTGGAATTGTTTTTCAGTCCCACATCTCACTGTACAGCTCTGATACACTTTGATTTTGTCTTCATTCTCTGAACAATAAGCACATAATACAGATGTTGATTACATCAATAAATGTATCTTTATTTTGTGGCATTGAGAAGGCAGCTTCCAGTGAGATGCAGCTTTACTTTCACATAATACATTACTACAGTGTTGTCTATAAAGAACTCCAAATATACAAATTGTGAGGAAAGCAGTAATGTATTACTTTAAATAACCTTCATGTAAAGCTTTGTTGTTGTAATGTATATGCATTACATTCATCTAATACATATGCACTGTAACAGATGTTACAGTGCATAATGTTGAGACACGTCACACTGCAATCTGCAACATTATGTTTATCACAACAGTTATCAGTGTGCCAACTATAAAAGCAGTATTATTCTATAAAAGACTGGATTGTTTTTATCTCTTTCTTAGTGATGCTATCCTAGCTAACACCAAGCTGCTTCCAGTGTTATAGCTAGGTTACAACTGAGCTATTCTATGCTAATATTTCACTCCCAGAGTTTGTTGTTAATATACTTACGAGTAGACCTGACAGAAATGAACATGCTGCTGCCATCACCAACACGATGCGCGTTCATGTGGTGTGACGTAGGGACGGGGGCGGGGCTACTAACTCGCTCAGGCAGAAGAAACTGCCGGAAACGACCAAATCGCTTACTGCTGCTTTAATCTAAAACAACAACAACCTTCGCATTTAAAAACTCTGCATTGATCACAATAGTGTGGAGCCACTATTAGACATACAGTATATATACATAGTTGTATGTAAACATCTGCACATGTCGGCAGCATGAGGGTCTGGGACACAGTGACTAAGAATGTGGGGGTGATATCGGGATTGGGAATGATCGTCCATGTCACGGCTTTAACTGGAATATTCCACAGTCAAGCTTTGCCGTAATCTGGTGAGGAATCCTTGAAACATGTTTCTAAATAAGTGGGTTTGAAGAACACGACTTATTGGTCTTTATATGCCACAGACAGATAACACATGGCGAAAAGTGATGAAAAATAAGTCAAAAATTGCTCAAATTTGGCAATATTTATCTTAATTAGAGCACATATTGACTGCCTTAAAACAAGATTTGACAATGGGACGAGCAAAACTATCTCGTTTTAAAATGATTCAAGAAATGTCTCCCTTGGAATGAGAAAATAAAGCAACACTTCTTGAAATAAGACTGAAAATAGCTTAGCAGAATGTGCTCAAATTAAGATAAAAACCACTCGATTCAAACAATTATTACCTCATATGCATGAATTTTTTATCACATCTTTAGATCAAAGAAAGTTTGGACCACCCTCACTCAGCCAATCAGCTCTCAGCCCTTAACATCAAATAGTGACTCACAGGGCTCTTTGTGACAAGAATGCAAAAACGTATAGAACATAAGTGTCATGGTGTGGAGTTTTTTTGCTCGACAATGGACCAGCAACAAGGGGAGAGGCCTTGTTGCTGGTCCATTGTTGATGTCATAGCTTGTTCTTGTCCGTTCCTGGCTCCATTTGGATTTTAAGTTTGTTTTTTTTTCCTGCATTTTGGGTCCTTTTCATGGATCTAAAATAATAACTGGATAGGGTATAACCAGTGGGGGCGGGTCCCAGCTCAAAAGTGCCCAAAATGACGTGCGCTGACATGCTTGCAATACCACCCCGGGCCGATGGGGGTGGACCCAGAAGAAGAATTAGCCAATGCTAACATATAGCGTTGGCAGACCTCTCAAAAACGTCTTCACAGGGTGGACCAAAAGTTGGCTCTTGGCCCAAAGCTCCGTTCCACATGTGTGTCAATGCTGAGGGGGGTGGATTTTTTTGGACCACTCTAGTTTACTCGCTGTGAATTTTTGAAGTCTCTCGTTCAAATGAATGGAGCTGCGCCGGCTGACGCATGCGCAGATGCGTTTTTTTCACAACTTTCTTGAGATAGGCGTGACTCTGTCCGTTAATATATACAGTCTATGGGTATAACTAGCTTATAGCTGTCCCACCTGTGGCCACTGCAGGCTAAATTCATGTGGGCTAAGTCCCATAGAACTCAATGTAAACTAAACCAGCTCGACCTCAGCTGACAGAGAACCTACAGCTTTCAGAAAAGTCGGATTATGTGGGGATTTTAGTGTCCCATCTTGGATCACCGGGGCTTGGTCCCCCTTCACTTTACTCGTAGCCATTTTAAGTCCTCGTTTATGTCTCGTTTTGTCCCTTTGTATCGAGAGTTGACTAAATGTTGTGAAATGGTTGTGTTGAAATGAAGCGGAGCAGATGGCAGTTTTTTATGGCGTCAGTCGTGATTTAGTGAAGTGTCTGTGATGGAGGAGTGAAAGATTGTGTCCTGTTTCTGCTGCTACTTCTACTTCAATGTGAGCAAATTATTTAAAATGTCAACATCATTTTGGATAGCACAGTGGGTGAGAGGTTTGCTCACTTCTCAGCTAGAAGGTCCTGGGCTTGACTCCCAGCTTTGATAAATCAGTTCTATTTGATATACATTTGAGGCTAAAAAAGCATGAAGTCATTTGAATGGACTAGAATATAATGTTTTATACTTGCTTAAATGCTTAAGTTAGAGATAGTATAGAGTTATTGTTCACTCATCTTGTCCTGTACCTGGCAATGCAACACTGTAATTTACTCACTGTGGGATGAATAAAGGATCTTTCAATCTTATATTTCTTAACTTTTTCTAGGATTTTTTGTTTAGATTTGTGTAATTACCGTTCCCATAATAGCATATTTTATTAGTGCTCAGGCCTCACAACATAAAGGTCGTGCCTTCAATTTTTAGTGCACTTTGCATGTTCTCCCCATGTCTGTGTGGGTTTCCTCCAAGGGCTCTGGGCTCCCCACCACTAAACCACACAATTAACATGATACTAGGGTTTTACGGTCAGAAATATCCAACAAAAACAAAATGTACATTTTCTGACTATATGTTTAAACGTTTTCAATGAATGTGTACTTATTCACTGCAAAAAAATATGATATATGAGGTAGTATATGCTTAAATCAAGTGTTTTGTATCCTAGTTTGACAAGATTTTACCAATGGGACAAAGCCATTTAGTCTTCCTTCAAGAACTGTTGCTTTATTTTCTCATTCCAAGGGAGACATTTCTTGAATCTTTTTAAAACATTTGCTTGTCCCATTGGAAAATCTTGTTTAAAGGCAGTCCAAATGTGCTCAAATGAAGACACATTTTGCCAAATCTGAGCATTTTTTAACTTATTTTTCATCACTATTTGCAGTGTCTAAGCTCAAAAATTGTGAAAACAAGAAACACGTCTCTTCTTCAGCCCCATGATGCTGTCTCTCTTTTAAATACTCATGGCAATAATCCAGATTGGGAAAAAAAATAGCAATTTTTTTTTTTATTATTTAATTTTTGACCGTTTGACTTTGAAAGGCCAAATGTGACATGTAAATTTCTCCTCTGTGAGATAAATAAAGCACATCTTATCTTATCTTATCTTACAATTTTTGGATAAAGTGATTATAAATTTACTGTATGTAAGTTTACAAGCCACCTGTGCTCAGACCTCGGACCACCCTGATGCTGGGAGACAAAGTTTAGAACAAAGCTGCATTATATTATTACAGATCAAAACTATTAGTCGTGTCCAGTGAAGATTTGCCCGACTACAGGATGCAGAGGACAGACCCGGCAGGTTAATCTCCAGAGTCAACACACTTTCTTTTTTCTTTTTGCAGCATTAGCGTAATTAGCTTGTGTTAGCGTGAGGCCCACCCACTGAGCTCCGTCATGGAGGAAAGAGGCGAATCTACTGAGGTTTAGGCACAAACAGAGATGGCACACGAGCAGAGGAGCTGATGGAGGAGTACTGTTACTTCAAAATAATAGAGTCAAAAGTACTCTCCATCTGGTCTCAAACCTTCTGAATATCTCTGGAACAGGGGTCTCCAACATGTGGTCCGGGAGCTACCAGAAGCTCGCCACCACCTTTCTGGTCGCTGCCCAAAGTATTCAAGAATTTACCACTTTTGAGTCAATACATGTCTATTTTTCACAATAAATCATCATTAATGCAGGGATACTGTACGGTATAATGGTAAATTAACGTACGATAAGATAAACTTTATTGATCTCACAATGGAGAAATGTTCATGTCACATTTGGCATGGAAAGAATCACTCAGATTGTGCAGAAAAGACAGAAGTGTGCAACTTGTTAAGGTTAAAAATAAATGATGGATGTGTGTTCTCCAGGATTGGCTTGGTTTGCCTTGAGAAGTTGGTTGGTGTGACTTTGGAAATGACCAAATATCACTTTAATTGTCAAAAAATCGCCCGCTCCCATCTCTGTGTGGAGTGAGAGGACAAATGCCCAAAAATAATAATAATTGTAAACCGCTTTGTGACTCTGGTCTGTGAAAGGCGGTATATCAATAAAGATTACTTACTTACTTATATGCTAAAGGAAAATTATGCGATAAGTTTAGAAAGACCTTTTAGCTCTTGTTGAATTTTCTATTTAGAGAATGACTTTATATAGTTAAAATAGACTCCAGAGATTCAAGTTTGTATCAGTTTCAGCTGGTGGTGTGCCATGGTTCAAACAGGAGTAGCTCTCTGCCATTTCTGTTTTATAAAAGTAGCTCTCCGATAGAAAAAGGTTGGAGATTCTTGCTCTGGAATATCTCTGGAACGAACTAGACAAATCAAAATGTCTTGGTGTGGCTCGTGGTTGCCATGGTTATCACAATATGGCACCCTCCCACTCGCTCTTTGTGTGTTTGTGTTTTTTGTTATATGCGTGAGAGTGCTTAAAGCCAAATGTGTGTCTGAGCACTTTTCAAGCTTCAAGCGTATTTGTTGTTTTATCTTGGAATTGAATGAATTGAATGGAAATACACACAAGTTTGAATTCCAATTGATTGATGGAGTTGTTTTGTGCGTTACCTGAAAGCAGCGAGGTATTCTGCGTCTCCCATCGGGGGGTCCAGTCCCCCGGTCCAGGCCACGTTCACATTAAAGCCTTCTCCAGCTCCTGCTCCCACCTAAAGCACATACGCATTTTCTGATCACAAAAAGTCCAGGTTTAGACAAATCCTAATCCGTGTGTTTAGTCTCGAAGCCCCATTCACAAAATCGGCTGCCCAGGGAATTCCCCAGCATTTCACCAGAACACGGTTTATGGAAACAAAACCAATTTTCCAGATTTGCTTAAGATCTGACAATTTCGTTAGTATAATACAAAGACTGCATTCCATTCAGACTCAGAGCGTCTCATGCGATTAGTCCCGGTTCAGACTTCAGAAATATTCAAGAGAAAAGGTCGCTATAAAACTATCCAGAAATCACGCAACTTTGCACAATGACAACGTAATGAGCCGTGTAACAAGAGTGAAGCTCTGACCTTCAGACCTCGGGCTGTTGCATGTGCTGCTCTTCCCTTTATAAAGTTGTCTGTTTGATGTTCATATCAGTCCATATGGATGATAAACTTGCCGTAGTCTGTTACAGTGCGATTCCCTCTGGTCCTTCTGCAGTGCGCTGTGGCTTTAGAAGACTTTAGTTTGAATTTCACAAGTTTGTTTTGACCCTTTTATTTCGACGCGTTCCTGTCTTCCCTGTGGTGAAAAGCTGACACAAGTCAAAACAACATGGCAACCTTTCCCACTGTCCCGCATTGTCATGGCGTTTCAACACAGGTCTGCAGAGAGAAAAGCCCTTAGACTTAGACACATTTGATTGATCATTTGTTTTAAGTTTCAATCAGGTGGCTGTACTCACGGCAAAAACTAGACAAAACTTGACAAATTTTTCATAAATCTAGGAGTAAACTATGTTTAGGCGGAGTGGTCCTCCTTTTCTCACCATTCTGTCTGAAAAATATGATCTAAATTACATGCATGTGAAAATTTGTAAAAGAAGCAAGCTTTTTTGAGAGCGCAGAACTATAGTAAGATGGATTTTTAGCTCTAAGAAACTATTCCAAAACATGAGATGGATTTTTTTTTATTCATTCTATTTTATGCGGTATGAAACTTAGGTGCCTTAAGCAAGAACCTCTGGACGTTGTGGTAGGAAAGTTGAAACTCGTCAGAAATGTCTTCAAACCAATGAAAAAATACATATACATATATAATTGTATATATTATAAGCTAAATTTGAGTAATTTTTAGCCTGATGGAGACGGGACATAAATATTTTGCAGTACAAGCCCCGCCCTCCATCATGAAATTGTCCAATCATCAAATTCTCGAGCAAAAACAAAACATATTTCACTGTTAGAAGAGTTTTATCGCATCTTCCCTAAACATTTTTTCTCCGAGTCGAATGACGCCCCTCCATAAAGCACACGTGGAACTGTTTACCGCTTTAATGAAGTAAAGATGACAGGCCCACACTCCAGAGTCTGAAATCATTTGTCAAAGATTTCACAATAAATCACGCAGAACTAAACACACAAACACAGCCGTTTATCAGCAACGCGTTTAAACTCAGGGTCACAGAAATACACTTCATATACACTTCATAATGTACTAATAAACAAAGACATATTCTGCTGAAATTAGTTTTTCGAGCTTTGAATCATATGTGATGTAGATATAGGAAAAGTGCCAAATGCAACAGTGGTATCAAGAACTGCAAGAACACTTTTATATTGTAATATTTTCTATTTTGCAAAGACCGACTTGCATTGAACAAATCCAACATATTTTCTAAATTGAATGAACTTTCTTTGCATTTAAGATTAAGTACATTACTTCAGTCAGTAAATAAGTGAATACGTGCTGAGCTGTTTTCCAGGACATTCTCCAAGGCGACAGTGGCCTAATGGTCATGGGTTCAATCCCCCCACCAGACCTACTCCATCTTCTCCCACTGAAGAGAAATGAATGACCAAAGAGGACCTGACCCAGACATGGATTGAGAAAGGGGGTGTGAATGAATCAATGAATGAGTCTCCAGAGTGAGACCTCTTCACCTGCAAGGATTAGTGTTCAGTGCAGCCGCAGCGGACCCTCTGCGGCACCTGTTCCCAGGGTCACAATAGGAAGTGCTCATGGATGAAGTGTTGCCTCTGCTCTGGCTCCTATTAACTTATACTGGAAAGTAAACCGGCTACAGAAGCTAAGCTGTTTAGAATTGACTTGTATCACAAAATTCTAGTTTTTACCGTTAGTAAGTACAGACACAAAGCCCTTTTAAATTTGTTGTGTTGCTGTGTTTACTCTAAACACAGTGATGGGAGCGGGGTCGCCATAAAGGAGGCGGATGCAGGACGTAATGTACATGTTATTAGTGGTGGAGCACCCGGAGGAAACCTACGCAGACGCAGGAAAAAGATGCAATCCTCGCACAAAAAGGTTCCGTCCGGAGGTAGAATTGAACTCTGAACACATTTATCTTGTGTTGTGTGCTCCCATTCTATAACTGGTGATGCAACACTGACATTTCTTCACTGTGGAACAAAAAAAATATCCCTAAATCTTAATTGGTTCATTGCATTTGTGTAAAAAATGTTGTGAAATAAACATCTTAATTGACTGATTGTTGTGAGTTTCTGATTGAAAATATTGGATATATCTCTCATGAATTTTTGTTTGTTTGTCTTTTTCACGCATTTCTCAAAGTTTTGTGAGTTGGTACCATCTTGTTTTTTGACTCCTACCTGCTCACTGACACTGCAAACACTCCCCACCGACTAAAAAAAAGAACAAAGCTTTTCCCAAAATCAAAGCCCTGGCCCGGAAAACCGTGACGAGTATAAATGATGCGTGCGCTGAGAGATCTCGGTCTGTAAAAAGGTGTAATCCCCTCAGATCAGCTCGGACCCCCTCCCCTCCCGTTGGCCCACACCTTCTGCTGTCGGCGGGACGATGGGCTCCGGGACTCGTGGATCTCAGGCGGTCTCTTTGTAGTCGGCTAAGTCCCGCCCCCCCATCAGTCAGGCTGTCAGGAGCAGGGTTCACTGAGGGTCTGATTGACAGGCTCTGGCAGGAGGAGTGGGATGTGTGCGAGGGGTTTTCTGTGTGTTCGAGCGACAAACTGATTCCACATGGGTCCGTGCCGCTGCCCTTCTGCACACGCTCGCTCTCATTCCAATCCTCGTTTTATCTTCTGATTCACAAAACTGGGCTCTTTGTATTTATATATATATGCATTTGTGTTTTTTTTTTACAAACATTGAAAAAATAGTGAGTAACTTTTTGTTCATAATGCACTTCTATTAGCATTCTTTTCTCCAAACCTTGAGCTGGTCCTGAGTCTGAACCCTGGACCGTCATGAGTCCATTGGAAAAGTTGAAACAATACTTTGGAGCAGTTTAAAGCTGGGTTCCGTAAATGTTTGTTTCATAAATATCACATGTCGATTGTCGCAGAAAGTCTTGTAAAAGTAACGTGTCATAATGTTTTTTAAGTTAAAATAATAATAATAATAATAATAATGGCATACTTAAAGAGCCCTGAGAGTCACTATTTGATGCTTTGGGCTGAGAGCTGATTGGCTGAGTGAGGGTGGTCCTCCTCTGGTTCCACTTTTCTCTCTGAAAAAGCTTAGTCCTACTCTACTCTACTCTACTCTACTCTACTCTACTCTACTCTACTCTACTCTACTCTACTCAGAACACTATAAAAAAAGTACCTAGAACGGTTCAAACTATTTAAGAAGCCTGTACAGCCACATTCTGCCCCCTAACACAAATTAGTATTAACAAAAAATAAATTAATGAAGTTAGAAGCATGGCAAATCACTATTAATGAATTTAGAAGCATGGCTAACCACAATCAATTCGTGAATTTAGAAGCATGGCTAACCAAAATTAATGCGTGAACTTAGAAGCATGGCAAACAACAAACATTCCTTTAACTTAGGTGCATGGGTAACCACAATGAATGAAGTTAAAAGCATGGAACCACAACAATAATCTGATTAGAAGAATAGCTAACCACAATGAATGAATGAATTTAGCTTACCGCAATGAATGAATGGATGAGCTTAGAAGCACAACTATCCACAATGAATAAATTAAGTTGGAAGCACAGATAACCACAATGAATGAATGAACTTAGAAGTACGTCTATCCACAATGAATTAATTAATTTAGAAGCATGACTAAACACAATTAATAATTCAACGTAAAAGCATGGCTAACCATGGCTAACTTTAAAAATGCACTTAGAAGCATGGCTGACCACAACTAATTATTATAGAAGCATGGCTAACAAAAATGAATAAATTAAGTTAAAACATGGCCAACCACAATGATTATTTCACTTAGAAGCATGACTAACCACATATCATTCACTAAGTTTGGGCACAGATTCTGCTCTTTATGTCCCATCTACAAAGTAACTAGTAGTTTTTATATTTTAGAAAGTACAGATATTCGGGTTTCAAAATGAGGAGTAACAAACTTGCAAAGTGAAGGAAAGCGAGTATTACTCCAGTATGAATGAAAACTACTCAGTTACTTCTGTGTGAGTCTACAGGTTTATGCTCAGTGCCACCTCGGAGCCTTTTATTGGGCTCCTGACGTCAGCGCTGCCCCCCGGTGGTTTTAATGGGGGTTTGCCGCAGCAGACTGGGCCTCACCACATCCAAGAGGACTGCGTTTAATGGCAAAGCACTCCCTCATCCTCCATCATTACTGCAGGGCCGAGGGGGGAGGGCCTTTTGGTGAGACCAGAGTCATTTCCTGTATATTTCAATAAACAACAAGACAATTCACATCCTGTTATGAATATCTAACTTTGAACACATGTGGGGAAATAAACGCAGAACGGGCAAACAAAAGAACAAAAAGACATTGTGAGGAGAGGGAAGAGGGAGAGAGGAGGGGGGGTAGAGAGGGATGAGGGAGAGAGGAGAGGGAGAGAGAACAGGGAGAGCAGAGAGAGGGACGAGGGAGAGCAGAGAGGAGAGGGAGGCCAGAGAGGAACAAGGGAGAGAGGAGAAGGCCGAGGGGGAGAGATGAGAGCAGGCAGACAGGGACGAGGGAGAGCAGAGGGACAATTCTGAATCTCCCAGAGCCGTCATTTTGACGGCTCCCATTCAAATCAACTAAATTCTGTTACGGTTACTAAGTTTTATTAAGTGCTGGTTGCTTGAAATACAGAAAAAGGCCAAACAGTAACTGCTTCAAGTAAACACTGTGTTTCTATGGTAACTATAGCACTTGCTATGCTCTGGTGGAAAACCAAACTCAGCTCAGAACCAGGACCAGTCCAGGACGAGGACCAGTACCAGTCCAATAATAATAGTAGTAATCGTAGTAGCAGTAGTAGTAGCAGTAGCAGAAGCAGTAGCAGTAGCAATAGCAGTAGCAATAGCAGCAGCAGTAACAGCAGCAGTACCTCATCAGGGTGTCCGCTGCCGGGGAAGAAGCCTCCTTGGTCGTACCGGTGCAAAGACATGTAGAGAACCCGAGGGTCGCTGTAGAAGGCGTCCTGCGTCCCGTTGCCATGGTGAACGTCCTGTCGTCAAAGAAGATCAGAGAGTAGAATATGGAACTGTCCAGATATCACACCCCCTGGTCACAGGTCACAGGTCTCTGAGGTTCACAACACTCAGATAGGACTATTTTCAGCTCTACATTTCAAATGATCTAACTATGGGCCTGGTTAGTACTGTGATGGGAGACCTCTGGAATATCATGATATCAGATAAATTAGACCTGAGAAAAATACTCTTATCAGTCATTCATGAATGAATGAAAATGAATGAATTTTTTTTTTGCAAACGTTCTCATTTCTGGCCCTGGTCTTAACTAGGATCAGGTCAGGGCCAGTTTTTGACACCAGTTTCCACCATTTTGCTTTGCATGTATTTTATTTAGTCACATCAGACTAAAATTTTGGCGCTATATCCCAAAACCAGTTTTTGTACAGCAGGGGGCCGATGATGTTAAAACACTTGGAACATCTTCAAGAAAGCAACGTGTGCCTCCTCAAAAATGGTTAAAGTGCTGGTCCTGCTGCGGTGAAGGCCCTCCTCAGTCTGGAGAAGAGCCGTGACACTTGGGGCGCTTCTGGAGGGCGCTCAGTTCAGCGTTTTTATGTTTCACTGCATCCACTTCAAATGCAGCTGTGTCCTCCTCCTGAGCTGCCTTCAGGAGTGCGTCTGCCGAGCCATCAGAGTGGTCAAGAGAGGACTTGTCGGGCAATTTTCATCTGTGCCTCCAAAATTTTCTTCAAAATTTTCTTCAAAATTTTCAGGCCGACCATAGACATTGTAAACGGTGACCTCCTTGTTTTCAAATTGTCCAAGTTCTGGTGACTGTTTCTGGTCAATCACGGCGGCTGGCTGTTCAGCAGTGTCAGTAGAAGTGTCTTCAGGGGATTCAAGAGACACAAAGTCCTCTGAAAGGCTCTTAACCTTCTTCCATGGAACCATGAAAATCTCCTGATGAACCACAGTCACTGTCTCTTGAGATTTGCCGACGTCTTTCGATCTTGGCTCTGGCTCCGTAAATTCAAAGTTGTACCAAAACGAGTTGAGACCTTTGCAAGTTATGCTCCTTTTAGCAGCTTTCTTGTCTGTGCCGAGCCCCACCACGGTCACCTCCGCTACTGTGTGTTGGACGTAAAAAATCCAAGGATATGATTGTTTGTCCACATCCACAGTAGTGTACTTAGGAGGAATCCCTTTCATGTTTACCGCTATTATATCAAGACAAGATAAGGGGTTTTCATTGTGTCAGAAGGTGGGAAGTGTTTTCCTGCAGATACCCGTGAGTTTCTTCTTCTTTTTATTGTCTTATTTATTTATTTATTTATTTGAAAGGGAAAATGTAGTCATACATAGTTACATTATGAAAATGCAGCCGTTGCGACACATACAGAGTGTATAGCTAATGCTAATTTTCAACTCCTGTCCCTGGTTGAGCTTTTCCCTACCGTACAACACCTTATACAGTGTGTCAGGAGAAAGAGGAAGATGTTGCAGCTCCGATAGAATTTGTTGAGTTCAAGAATGTTTAGCAATTGAAGTGGTAGGTCCTTTAGCTTAATAACGTCACCGACTGCTAGCTTATAGGTGAAAATGGCGTCATGGATTGGGCTATCTTTCTGCACCATCACCAGCTTGGCTTTCAGAAATAGTTTCATAGCCAGCTCAAATACCTTACAAACCTCATTGTTGTAGTCAACGTCTATCTTTTGGGGCAAAGACATAGCAGTTTTGTATCAAACATTAAGTAAGTAATCTATATTAATATACCGCATTTTTACAGACCAAGGTCACCAAAAACCTTTTTACAATGTTCAGAGTTCAGATATTGTTTCAATCTCTCTACACAGTGATAACTGAAGCGAGACTCCGAACACACTGGAGCATCAAAGCCCCCGACCAACACTATCAAATCACTTACTCACTGATTACATTCAGTCCTATTGTGCATGATTTTAGTGGTAGGGGAAACCGGAGCACCTGGAGGAAACTTACAGACACGGGGAGAACATGCAAACTCCACTCAGAAAGGCCCTGTTCTCACCGAGATTTGAACCCAGGACCTTCTTGCAGCGTGTTCTAAATGTCTGATAGAGTGAAATCATTCTACACTTTTATTGTAGTACTTGATTGTATTTTAGTATTCGATTTGTATGTATGTGTATGTGTATTTGAATGTAAACGAGAAACAGAAAAACTACACAATATGCTTTTGTGATTTCACTGTGATTCATTGTGTAGCCCTACTCTGCTTTAACACGCACTGGACGGTCAGACAGCCCTGAGATGACCCCAGAACACCGTGGCGGATCAGAGACACCACAAACGCCCGCTCCGTTCTGTGGCTTTGAGAGGAAAATGTTTACGCTCCAGACACATGGACAGATGTTTGTATACAGTGATGTGTTCAGGGCCCGGCCTTCGCTCGTAAACAACAGCGTTATCAGACAAACTACTCCCAGATGAGGACCGAGCCGATCCGACATCTGTTTAATTATAGACATCTTCAATATGTTTAATGTAAGAATAGAGGCTCTGTGTTCACTGGAGCTGTGTGCAGGAGACTCGTCATTTCAATGTAAGAACTGGGAATGAAAAGCACATCCCAAAAACCATACATTTTTTAATAAAATCCATATAACTACGTAAATCAACACTGTCAGAATAATTTGGTTCTATCGCTGGTTTTCACATTTTCACATACATGTTTTTTTTTTTTTACCTCTGTCACATCATTTGTTCAGCTTTTTCCGCTAGAAAAGTGAAAAGAAGAACAGGACCACCCTCACTCAGCCAATCAGCTCTCAGCCCAAAGCGTCAACAAGTGACTCACCGGGCTCTTACCAAGTCTGCAAAGATAATATATTTTCTACTTAAATGAGTCACAAAAACAATCATGAAGACAATGCTACCTCATAATAAGTAGCACACAATCGCATGTTGACAATAGCCTTAGATAGTAACTGATGAATGTTTTTATCAATACTGTTTCTTATTAAAGAGGTTTCTGAAAGCGTTCTGGGGACGTTTTCCTTCCTTCCAATACCGATATTTTAGCACAACCCTAGAAATAATAATAATGCTTTGGTTTTATGCAACACTTTTTTGGACACTTCGACTACTACTGTTCTCGCTTCTGTCAGTGTGCCCCAGGGCAGCTGTGGCTACAGTAGAAGTTTATCACCACCGTGTATGGAGTGAATGAATAATGGCATGTGAAGCGTCTTTGAGTGTCCAATAAAGCGCTACATAAAACCAATGCATTATTATTATTACTACTGTAGCCACAGTTGCCCTGAGGCACACTGGCAGAAGCGCTTGAAGTGTCTTGCCTAGACTGAGGAGACAAATACTGTTTCCCCACTGTGGCACCTGGTGTTCCCCTCCCATCACAGTACTAACCAGGCTCTACCCTGCTTAGCTTCAGAGGTCTGACAGGATCTGGCTTTCACATGCAGGTGGCGCCACAAATAGTAACATCAGATGCAGTAGTTTCTCACCCAGTCCAGGATGAGGATCTTGTTGAGGTTGAGTTTCTGTAGGACTTGTTTGGCGGCGATGGCCACAGAGTTGAAGTAACAGAAGCCGCTGAAATACACACAGCAAACTGAAATATGTAACAAGACAAACATAACTGACTTCTGTCTCCAATTCCTTTTGCACAATAATAACACAAGGAATATCTTATCACTTGTGAGGACTTTGCTTGAAAATGTACACAGCCGGCCAGAGATTTCATTGTTTTGGGGTTCGTGTGAAGCTATGTATTGTCAAATATTATACATGTGTTGTATTTTCACATTCAGATCCACCCTCGCAGTGTGAAGGAGAGGTTCCACTGGTCCGTCCCTCCTGCTGCGGTTCAATTTAATTTATTTTTGCATAGCCCTAAATCACAACAGCAGTCATCTGGGAGGACTTTACAAAAATGTTGATTCGGCAGATCACAGAAATGGAATAATAACAAACACATAGAAGCCATTGGTCCTTGGGGAGAGGGATGAAAAATGTCCATAAATGTCCTTAAATATCCTTAAATGTCCCGGATCATCACCGTTCTTAGACCCCCCTGCGTCAAAAAGGAAACCCTAACCCAAAAGAAACAGTGGGAAAAAAGTGAGAAACCTCCCCGGGGCCCATACTGAGAAAGAGATACCCTCACTTTACACACTACTATTATTATTTATTCTGGCCACATGCTGCTAATGTACATACAGTGTAGACGTTATAATTTACTTAATCGTGAGCAGTATTCGACTGCAGTCTGCTTAGTGCAATTACAGCCAGAACCCTGTGGCTCAGCTGAGAGTATGTTTGAATAGAGAGATAAGAGTTTATTAACATCTCTTTCTTATTATCTTAAATGAATAATAAGTATATCTAGTAGTTTGTTTGACGTGCTTATCCTGAGTGACTTTTGTTTTTGGGATTGTGTAAAGTTATGTATTGTCAAATAAACGTTTTTTATTTTGTTTAATTCATGAATGAGCAGCTCAGGAAAGATCATTCCATTCATGCAAGGCGACCTTCACACAGGATAAAGAACTCATTCCCAACTACCACAAAAGACTCCAACAGCTGTCCTAGATGCAAAAGTAGTCCTCGTTCTACAACCTGTCCATCCGTGGGCCTCAATATGGGCCTCACCGAGGTTTCTCACTTTATTTTTTGAAGGTTTCAGGCCGATGCAGGAGGGCCTAAGGACAGTAGTGATCTTGGACATTTATGGACATCCCACTCCCCATGTACCTCCTGTGTGTGTTATTATTGTATTTCCTGTGTATGGACTGTTTCATTCTCTGTCCTGTTGTTTGTGAATCAACAACTTTGTAAAGTCCTCCGACATGACTGCTTTTGTGATTTAGGGTTTTCCCAAAAAAAATATTGAATGAAATTAAACGCAATTAAGAACTGGGGATGAATGTTTCTCATCGAGGTTACAATAGTTTCTGTTTAAATCAGAAATAATATTTATTTGACGATAAATATTCACTCAACTATTCAAACTCAAAGAACACAAAGCATTTAGTGTCTGAAAACTCGGCTACTGAGCTCTGTAATTATACAGTATTTTAATGTTAGATTTTAACGTTCAGCAAAAACAAGGCCACCCACTGACAATCACTCAGTATTGAACAGGATTCATTGTTCAGATATTTCTCTGAGCGTGGAATGTGACAGTCACCGCAGTCAGCAGCTTTTAACTAAGAGCAGAGATCAACGCCACACACTCAGACGTATAAATCACACGGACAGAGCGCTGAGCTAGCATTGGCGCTAATGTTGCTAACGTGGCTAACGCAAGCAGCGGCGCTAATCTGACAAGACTCAAAACACAGAAGAATACACAATGCTTTCATTGTACACTAAATGACTATATATCTGTAACATTTTAAATATTAGTATTCAAGAATTGAATAATTAGATTATTTAAGAAATGACATCAAGCATTATAAACTCTAGAGCAGACATGGGCAAACTTTTCCTCCTGAGGGCCACATTGAAAATTAGGTCCGGATCCCGACAGCCCTCTGATATTCCAATGTTTTTCTCAGGCTTCATTTTAAAACAAAAATGTATTGTTTATATGAAAAAAGAGCTCTGCACACAGCACAGAGGGGGATTGTATGATGTTTAAACTGAAATTACCCCACTGTGGGATGAATAGATATTCTTATTCCTAATCTCTCTTAATCTTAATCTTCATCTATATAAATTGAGGAGGCTTCAGGGGCCTGATAGAAGCATACAAAGGGGCCGGAGTTTGCCCACCACTGCTCTAGATAATCTCCTCCCCCAAACAGAATTCTCTGTGTACCATCAGTCAGATCTCTGGTATTAGATGAATTTGATCTAGTATCTAGAATTTGATTATTTAAATATTATACTTTCAAATATTAAAATCCTAAAGAAAAAAAACATAAACACGGCCTTTGTGTTTGTTACTTGATTTCCCAACTGCAAGAAGTGGAATAATGTAATCATAACTACACACCTAAACTGTGCCTCGCCTGTTTTTAAAAGCCTTTCATATTCTCATCTGTTTTGGGATTTAGTTAGCTGTTGTGGTTCTTTTGGCACCCCCGGACCCCACCCAACATGTTTGCCCTTCACCTCTGACAATCAGATACAATAACAATGCTAATTCATGCTACTCATAGTACTTTTGCTGACACCTATTATTCATTTCCTCCTGGGACAGACTGTCGCAAGAAAGGCAAGTATGAGTCATCAGCCTCTGCGATTACCATCATCATTCCCACACCCCAGACTCATTCAAGGCAATATGGATGAAGTGCTTTGCCTAAGGACTCAACAACAGTTTGGTACTTTATGCGCTAGAGTGGGGCGGATATGGTTGTAGTGTTCACAGAGGTCTCCCATCACAGTACAAACCAGACCCTGTCCTGATTAGCTTCAGAAGTCTGACAGCCATAGATACAGTGTTCGAGCTGGATCCTGACTGTCGCCCCCTGCAGGACACTCAGAAACAGACTGATCCACGCTTGCTGTGTGAAGTAAAGGTTAGGCAGGCCCTTCCTTTCTGCTGCTGTCTGACCGTACAACAAGTGGATAGACTCACGGGGCTCTTTCTTACGAGAATGCAAAAGGTAAGATGTTTTCAAATTTGCCATGGCCTCTTCAATGGAAAAAAAAGAGATACCTCAACAGAATCAATTACTTTCCACCAGCCCTACTCTAATCTCCTCCTCACTGGTCTTGTTCAACTGGTCCCAAGTATGGTTAGGTCCTGATTTGCCCTGGTTCTGTCCCCGGTAGGAGCTAATAAAAATATACATTGCACAATTTTGCATTAAACAATCTCGGCCTATGTAAAAGACACAGCAGATTTGTCCCAGGGTGCAGCTTTGAGCCCTCACATACTCACAGAGGAGAGGAGTGTGTGGCGTGATGTCCCGGAGGTCGCACCAGAGCGAAGCCGTTCTGCCAAAGAGAAACCAACACCTCAGCACAAGGACCCCGCTGTGACGGTAATGTAATGTCATGTGATGTAATGTGATGAGACAAAAAAAAAATCGGACATTTTACAATAATCATGAGCCAAAAGAAGAGCTTTATTGTAACAGGTTGCAGCAGGAGTGGCAATGCATGTTTTTTTGTATTGCACAGTTCATACACAAGGCAACTCAAAGTGCTGAACAAAATAAGATATAGAAACAAGGCATTAAAATAATCACAGTACATTTAACAGACTCAAAGGAGTAAAGATAAAATGCCTTAGTTCAATGCACGATTAAACAGAATTGAAGTTCAAATTGGTGCCTACGTCATCGCATCAGGCCCACACCGTCCTCAGCCTCACATCAGCTCAACTCCCTGAAGTCGCACTAATCAAGCCGGCGCTTAAAAGCCAGACACCGCACACCAAACAGCCTTTTCAAGCCGCAGCCACCTCCTCCCCACCTCCGCCTCAGGATTTCTACGCACGCCCACATCCACCTTGTCCTGTTGCCACCACCAGTGTCCAGGCCCCGGGGGATCATGGTCTGCATCAAGCACAAATCCCCACAGAGCAGGGCCAGAGCCAGGGCCTGTGCGCCAAACTAATAATCAACAAACAAAACTCGCAATCAATAAATCTTTTAAACGCATCTTGTCTCATCTTGTAGTCTCTCCAGATTTAACTGTTTTTAACCTGGATTTGAACATCTTCAGAGAAAAGGCCTGTCTCACATTTTCAGGAAGATGGTTTCAGATTTTAGCTGCGTAAATCTGACATGCAGCGTCCCCATGTTTAGTTCTGACTCTGAGCACCAGCAGGAGTCAGTCCCTGTGCTCCTCAGAGTCCGAGTTGGTTCACGGCACCGACATGTCACAGATGTACTATTCTCTGAGCCACAGAAAGCCAGTGCGGAGACCTGAGAACTGGACTAATGTGATCGTACTTCCTGGTTCTAGTCAGGACTCGAGCTGCTGCATTCTGAGCCACAGGAGTCTAACCTACTGGAGACAAAAGCAGAGATAAGAATTTCCAAGTCTGGTCTATCCTTTTGATCCTGGCAATTTGTTTTAGATGTTAAAAAACAGCTGATGTTACTGATTTGATGTGGCTGTAATAACTAATTGTAATAATTCTATTTTAAATTTAATTCCTTAGAAATTGTTGCTGATTTTTTAATTTTCCTATTTATTTATTTTAAATAATATATTTTGTATTATGCCTTCTCTACCCTTTACCTCTCTTCTTTGACTGTTGCACTGAGCCAAAGCATTTTCCAAGTGTGTGACTTCCTGTTACTTATGTGGCAATAAAAATGATTCTGATTCTGAAATTTAAGTCTGAGAGCTAGTTTTCACCTGTCGCCCCTGAGCAGGTTGTTGTAAAACAAAAAATAAAAGTAAATGGATACATGACCATATATTATCAGACAGAAATAACAATTTATTTTACCATAAGTTATAATAGAACTAGGCAGGCCCCATTCTTCACTTTCTCTCTATACACACAGTACATTCATAATAAGCTCTCACACACACAAACACACACACACACACGCACACGCACACGCACACGCACACACGCACACACACACACACACACGCACACACATACACACTCACACACACACGCACGCACACACATTTGTCCTTCCAAGAGCCATTTTTGTCACAATAATGTAATGTAATGTGAAGTAATGTAATATAAGATAATGTAATGTAGCTGTGGTCAGACCTGAAGCTCCCCCAGCGCCACCTTCAGGGCGAGGTCGGTAACGCTGCCTGCCGCCACTCGAGCTGCAGTGGACGTGTGCAGCTCGTTCCAGATCGTGTCGATGTCCACCTGAAAACACATCGTGAATTTAGGGCCATTTAAAGCCGGGGTACCTAACTTTCAAAACACATAGAATTCTGTGGTTGGAGTAAACATCTGGAATGAGTTGGCTGGAGAGTTAAAATACTGCAGAAGTACACAACACTTCAAGACTTTGCTGAAGAAGAATATTGTTCAAACATATTGATCTTGAATGCTGAGCAGAAAATATCATGATTATGGAGTAAATGTGTTATTTTGATTTGTTTATAGCAGTTGAATTTGAATGTATACTAAAGCTTCTGCCTATTCCCCTTTCAGACCTTATTTTTTTTTACTTGTGCCTGAAATTGTTTTTGTGTTGTCAAAAATGTCTGACAAAAATGGATTTAATTGAAAAGAAAAATGAAAAAAAATGTAACTAGTTGGTAAAACACAAAAAATGACAGTGTATTCTTGCATGTACTGAATAAATGAAAGTAGTTTTGGCCTCAGACAGAAAAGTGCAAACGAAAGCACCAGCCTAAATAGTCAGATAGTGACTCACAGGGCTCTTTCTTACAAGTGTGCAAAAAACATGTAAATATTGTCAAAAATGCAGTTTGTTTCTCGTAACTTGTCCAGGTTTATAAATGTTCTCATTGTTCCCTCGGTCCAGACTGAAGTGAGTGATATCGCTCCGTCTCGGCCTCCACATGTCTCTGCTATCTTTAGTTCTTTACTTCTTTAGTTCTTTGGCTTCACTTCTGTCGACCTCAAACTGAAGCTTTCGTCTCTGTCCACGACGTCAAACCAGATTTATGTCCAAATCTGGAGTCGTTTATTTTTATTCGTCTTTATCATTTCAAAGTTATTCATAAGGAAAAAGAGCCTTTCATATTTGAAACGTTACAACCAGCTCCTCTCTCAGACACCGCAGACACTTAACTAATCCTTATGTCCATGACCACATTTCATATCGACTAATATTTCAACATTTTATTCTAACATTTATTTCATGTGTTTGTGTGAAGGCGGGTTTATTGTATAGCACAGTTCAAAAACTAAACAAGCGAAGGAAACGTTACAGTGCCTTGTATTGTTTTAACATCTCATATGGCACCAACATGTCACAGATGTACTTTGGTTCAGGCCATGGAGAGACTCGTAACAATCAGAGCTGTTTTAAAGTCTATTCTCTGAGCCACAGGAAGCCAGTGCTGACCTGAGATATATATTCTACTGTGATAAATAGTCAATCATTGTTTTATATTAATATTATAAACATGAATGTACATTATATTATTCCTTCTATCCACACCCAGTGTTGGTAAACTGCTACTGTAGCCACAGCTGCCCTGGGGCGGAACAACACACTCAATAGTGTGTGTAAGCTGTGTTTTGCTTAAGGACACAAGGATAGTTTGCACTCTGCAGCCACAGCGCCCCACTGTGGCAGCGGCTGATACAGCAGCATCACTGAGAGATCTGAGATGTGTGATCAGGGTTTGACTGGCTTCAGCTGTCTTAAGAATCTCAGTCTTCCCCCAGGCAGCGCTGGCTACAGTAATAATTTAGCTGTGCATTGTTAATGTAAGGCATCTTTTAAGTGGCCAACTGCAGGATAAAACCATGATTGAACCAGGACTGAACCAGGACTGAACCATGACTGAACCAGGACTGAAGTAGGACATCTGAAACTCACCCCGGTCCCTCCACACGGCAGCAGAATCAGGAGCCTTCTGGACAAGATCTCTGCAGAGAAGCATCACATGTCACTTTATACATTTAGCACAATGTTTTTCATCTGAACTGTGTATCCACCTGATCCCAATCTAACATCAGCACAACAATGAATAATATTGTAGTGAATATTATTACATTACAATATTATTTAATTCTAAAAATCCTGTTTTACCGGTGACTGAGTCTGTGCCCAGTCGCTCGTGGTCCTGAAGGTCGGAGCCAAACGTCATCACATAGTTTTGGGAATGAACCGACTGCAGCTCCTTCAGAGTTGCCTTCCTGCTCCGCACGAGCTGCAGACAGAAACATGCAGTTATAGAAAGTTTTAGTGAGGAAGAACAACCATAGATCTTTAGGCAAGGCAAGTTTATTTGTAGAACCCAGTTTATACACAAGGCCAGTCAAAGTGGTCAACATAACACAAAAAGAAACATTAAAAACAGGCATTAAAATGATAAATAATCACAGTAGACTAAAAGAGAGTTAAGATACAATACAACGCACAGATAAAGAGAACTGTTTTAACTTGGATTTGAACGTTGTCAGAGAAGAAGCCTGTCTCACATTTTCACATTTTCATACGTGATAGTGTAATGTGTTGTCAAATGCATTTAAAGCCACAGTGCGTAACTTTCCGAAGGTGGAAATTCCTGCATGAATCTTTCGACGCAAAAAGCAGAGAGACTAATGTGTGGAGAGACAAGCTCACTCACAGTTAGAAAACATGTTTATTTGTGGATAAAAAGTTACATATTGTGGCTTTAAACAAATACAATATATACTTGAACTCTTTGAGACTTAGGTACAATGGATTACATCGCTGAAAGGAACATAAAAGCAGAAACTGTACATGTCTATGCCACATCCTCAGGCGATGGTGCAGTACCTCACACTGCCTCCGGAGGCCGCTCTGGTTCAGCCTGTTCCAGATGCTTTCGGTGCGTTCAGGGCGTTCATTATGACGAGAGGAGTCCGAACATCTGCATCTGTGTCTCTGCATCTGAGGGTCGTACACCAGCCCTGACGAAACAACACAAATACATGAACGTACACTCAGAATTGTCCCTCTCCAAGTCTCCCTCCAACTCCCTCCAACTCCCTCCAACTCTCTCCAACTCCCTCCAACTCCCTCCAACTCCCTCCAACTCTCTCCAACTCCCTCCAACTCTCTCCAACTCTCTCCAACTCCCTCCAACTCTCTCCAACTCCCTCCAACTCTCTCCAACTCCCTCCAACTCCCTCCAACTCCCTCCAACTCCCTCCAACTCTCTCCAACTCTCTCCAACTCCCTCCAACTCCCTCCAACTCCCTCCAACTCTCTCCAACTCTCTCCAACTCCCTCCAACTCTCTCCAACTCCCTCCAACTCTCTCCAACTCTCTCCAACTCCCTCCAACTCTCTCCAACTCCCTCCAACTCCCTCCAACTCTCTCCAACTCCCTCCAACTCTCTCCAACTCCCTCCAACTCTCTCCAACTCCCTCCAACTCCCTCCAACTCCCTCCAACTCTCTCCAACTCCCTCCAACTCTCTCCAACTCTCTCCAACTCTCTCCAACTCTCTCCAACTCCCTCCAAGTCTCCCTCCAACTCCCTCCAACTCCCTCCAACTCCCTCCAACTCTCTCCAACTCTCTCCAACTCCCTCCAACTCCCTCCAACTCTCTCCAACTCTCTCCAACTCTCTCCAACTCTCTCCAACTCTCTCCAACTCCCTCCAACTCCCTCCAACTCTCTCCAACTCCCTCCAAGTCTCCCTCCAACTCCCTCCAACTCCCTCCAACTCCCTCCAACTCTCTCCAACTCTCTCCAACTCCCTCCAACTCTCTCCAACTCCCTCCAACTCCCTCCAACTCCCTCCAACTCTCTCCAACTCTCTCCAACTCTCTCCAACTCTCTCCAACTCCCTCCAACTCCCTCCAACTCCCTCCAACTCTCTCCAACTCCCTCCAAGTCTCCCTCCAACTCCCTCCAACTCCCTCCAACTCCCTCCAACTCTCTCCAACTCTCTCCAACTCCCTCCAACTCTCTCCAACTCCCTCCAACTCCCTCCAACTCCCTCCAACTCTCTCCAACTCTCTCCAACTCTCTCCAACTCTCTCCAACTCCCTCCAACTCTCTCCAACTCCCTCCAACTCCCTCCAACTCCCTCCAACTCTCTTCAACTCTCTCCAACTCCCTCCAACTCTCTCCAACTCCCTCCAACTCCCTCCAACTCCCTCCAACTCCCTCCAACTCGCTCTGGTTCCTTTTGAGTTACATTAGTTACATTCAATAGTAACCTTCTCAGTAACTGGTTGTGTCTCTTTCAGTATTTTAGCGCTCTCTGTGATCCCGATGTGTGTTCAATGAATGTCTCTTTATACAAACAGATATGAGCTCTAACAACTGACCAATCAGGAGCCTTCTGGCCTTGTCTTACGCTCGTCATAGTTAATCAACTTCAGAGATGATGCATGTTTTGTGCTACAGATACTGCCCTTGAGTCATTAAGTAGAAGAAAAATACCCTAAACTAGGACTTTAAAAAAAGTATATATATATATATATATATATACCACTGTGGTGGCCACAGCACTTGCCTTGTGTTCCTCATATTGTTAATGTCACTTATAAGTTATAACTGCCAAGTCTACTGTTATTTGTCAGAAATACTCACACCAAGTATTCTGTACTGTCTACTTTGATCGTCCACGTTTGCGTGCGTGACAGTCTTTGACGGTGTTTGAGCGCCATTCCCTCCATGTTCTGTTCCTCCTCCACAGATCCTTGTACTCCTTCTCTGCCAGATCTCAGACCCCCAGATACCCTGACCTCCAGCTCATTTAACATTCAAAATGACACTAAACTCTTCCACACAGCAGCAGCAGCAGCAGCAGCAGCAGCAGCAGCAGCAGTAGTGGTGGTAGTACCTGTTGTAAACCTGAGTGGTACATTCACAGTTGTGGAGGACGGAGAAGACTGCGTTCGGATCACCGGGAGGTGAGACCAGAGCTGGTGTGCGCAGGGCCCCTGTAAAAAGAGTGCACACTTTTGCTCTTCTGATTGATTTTATTCTATAATGTTAAAAACTTTGCAAATGTGATTTTGAATGATACTTGAAGACTATTGCATGTTCATACAAGTTTAACATTGTAAAGCTTTTCAGTGTTTTGAAACTTTTTTTTTTTTTTTTTTAGAATTCCTTCCTTAGTTCTAAGCATGTCAAATTGAGCAAGGGTAGATTAAAGCTTGGTTATCTATATTTCAAACAACCAAAATATAACTATCTAATCTCCCTCTCTCTCAAAACAGTCTATCACAGTGTTCACGTGCACGTCTTTTTGGCCTGTCACATCTTTAGAGCAGACAGACCACCTTCACTCAGCCAATCAGCTCTCAGTTCATGGCTCAAAGAGTGACTCATAAGGCTCTTTCTTACAAGTATACAGAAGATAACAGGTCTTCTAATCCAATGTTGTGGTCGGATTTGTTCACACTTTTGCAAGAATCTCTCTGCTGGGACAAAATATTTATAAGCACACCTGACTTTGGTCCAAACATGTGCTTTTTCAAGAGTCATTATTTAAAGTTCAAGAGCATGGGTGTCAAAGTCAAGGCCCGGGGGTCAGATCCGGCAAGATCATTTTTAGTGGCCCCTAAAATATTTTTAGGTAAATAATGGGTGACCAAGGCAGGTTACATCTTTATTTTCTCAGGAAAACAACCAAATTAATGTATCCTAACATTTTAACCCAACTTTCTATTTGATCCAGGTTTGGTTCAATCTAAACAATAAACTAATTTTGTTTTCTGAATAATAAACTAGAAAATAACAGTGAAACTCATGTCACTTTAAAGTTATTTTAAAAATACTTTCACAATACAATACTTAATAATGTAAAAAAAAACTCTTGTAAGAAAAGGAAATTCTAATGTTTCGGCCCCCGACCTGACCAAAATTAGTTTGACACTTCTGTTCTAGAGATACTCGTGAAACAGAAATAATCAAATGTAAAATAATTCAGCAGTGACTGTGGCTCAGTCCTGTCACCTGGCTCGTGTGCACCGCTTCTGTCAGACTGTCTCTGGACGAGGTGTTGGACTCGGTGCCATAGACTGAGTCCACACTGGGTCTGCGGCTCCAGACCGAACCCAGATTTGAATCAGGACCAGGAATGGACCTAGTCTGCTCCTGAGAGAAAGGGAGCGATACAGAATTTTGAGGACAATTCTGAAAATATGAGTTCAAATCCAGGGTTACAATTTGATGTCATACAATACACTAAAATAAAGTCATGAAGATCAAGGCTGTTTCACCACTGACAGAGCAGCCATCTTCCTGTGGACTCACCCCCTGCAGAGGATCAGCGAGGGACTGGTGCTAGGAGCATTGGGTGGCAGCTCTGATTGCCACCCCCCTGACCCAGAAATGGACAATAAAGGGCTTGAAAATGAATGAATGAAATGAATGAACAATACACTAAAATAAAGTCATGCGACTAATGGAACTAATTTTACTCTTCGATTAATTACCAAGTGGCAGCACACAGTTAAATTAGGAAGAGAAATGGACCATGGACTGAACCTTGGTCCAATGTGTTGCCTTTACACATTGAGCTTAAAAATATGGTGTTTTAAGATAGCATAGGAAACCTTTTTTGTTGGAACAATGAGGACGTAATACAGACTGGGATAAAAACATGTTTTGTATAATAACTACACAAACAAAATGTATATAAAAATATAATACTCTTGACAATGTAAGTATAATTAATAACTAGAAACCGTTGCAATGGCTGAAGCCATTGCGATTGACTGCAAGGTTTTGTATAATAACTACACAAACAAAATGTATAAAATATAATACTCTTGACAATGTAAGTATAATTAATAACTAGAAACCGTTGCAATGGCTGAAGCCATTGCGATTGACTGCGAAACAGATCTAATGTGGAATTTAGCTGAAAAATCCTTGCTGAAAAAAACTGTTAAAATACTTTAAACATCTTTGAAACTCCTGAAGTATTTGAAGCTCCTGATATCCTTTAAACTGTTATCCTTTATACTGGTTTACATGTAAAAACCCCTATTAAGTTGCATTATACTGGTTTACATGGAAAAATCCCCATTAAGTTGCATTATACTGGTTTACATGTAAAAAACCCTATTAAGTTGCATTATACTGGTTTACATGTAAAAATCCCTATTAAGTTGCATTATACTGGTTTACATGTAAAAACCCCTATTAAGTTCCATTATACTGGTTTACATGTAAAAAACCCCTATTAAGTTGCATTATACTGGTTTACATGTAAAAACCCCTATTAAGTTGCATTATACTGGTTTACATGGAAAAATCCCCATTAAGTTGCATTATACTGGTTTACATGAAAAAAACCCTATTAAGTGGCATTATACTGGTTTACATGAAAAAACCCTATTAAGTTGCATTATACTGGTTTACATGGAAAAATCCCTATTAAGTTGCATTATACTGGTTTACATGGAAAAAACCCTATTAAGTTGCATTATACTGGTTTACATGTAAAAACCCCTATTAAGTTGCATTATACTGGTTTACATGGAAAAATCCCCATTAAGTTGCATTATACTGGTTTACATGTAAAAACCCCTATTAAGTTGCATTATACTGGTTTACATGGAAAAATCCCTATTAAGTTGCATTATACTGGTTTACATGGAAAAAACCCTATTAAGTTGCATTATACTGGTTTACATGTAAAAACCCCTATTAAGTTGCATTATACTGGTTTACATGGAAAAATCCCCATTAAGTTGCATTATACTGGTTTACATGAAAAAAAACCCTATTAAGTTGCATTATACTGGTTTACATGAAAAAACCCTATTAAGTTGCATTATACTGGTTTACATGGAAAAATCCCTATTAAGTTGCATTATACTGGTTTACATGGAAAAATCCCTATTAGGTTGCATGATTACACTGAAGTCCTTGAAACTGCTGAAGTCCTTGAAACTGCTGAAGTCCTTGAAACTGCTGAAGTCCTTGAAACTGTTGAAGTCCTTGAAACTCTTGAAATCTTGAAACTGCTGAAATCCTTGAAACTGTTGAATCCTTGAAACTGTTGAATCATTGAAACTGTAGAAATGTCTGAAAGAGCTGAAGTCCTATTAAAATGCATGGGCCTATTAAAATGCATTGCAGAATTCTCAATGCAGATTTTTGTCCGATTGCGGAAAAACCGGAAATCGCTGAAGTCCCAAAAGTAATAGCAATAATCTCCCAAACATGTGGAACGTTTTGATGTATAACTTGTGGAAATTGTTGAAAATGTGAAAGCTGTGAAACGTGTCAAAAAAAATGACGGAATAAAGAAATACAAAACCAATGGTTGACTGCGGAAGGTTCCGCAGTCAATCAATAAGTACATGCTGATTAAATGGTGATATCCAACAAACTGAACACTCTTTAAGTAAAAGTTAAAGCAGTAGCAGTAACAAGCCTCTTCACTAGTATGGAAGTATGGAAATAAAGATTTACATTCTAGGTCGATGTGGTTTGCTTTAGATGATTAAAATGGGACAAAAGAATGCTCTATTTGTGAATATAAAACCACCAACAAGTGAATGTGTGTAAACTGGTCTTGCTCTGGCTAAAGTGAACCAGACCAATCCGTGTGAATGCTCTGTCATGGCAACACCAGTACAGTGTGCACTTGCCTGAGTCCGAAGTTCTTTAGCCTGGTACCGCTCCAGAGCTCCAGACTGGGTCCAGAAGTGATGAGGCGTGTGGGGGAGCGAGAGGGCGGAGCAGGGGAGGGGCTCAGACCTGGTCCTCTTCAGAAGTCCGTGAGAGCCCAGAGTGAGACCCACAGACAGGGGGCGCTGTGGAGGCACTGCAATAAAAACACATTAAATGAGCACCGTTGATGTGTTTCATCAAACATCAATTTATCTATTTTTGTAACTCGTATACATCTGTTATGGCTCAAAACAAATTCTTTTAACAAATTACCATATGATGTTCAAGCTTTGGCCACTAGAGGGAGATCAATGACCATCACAAAATACCAAAGAATACATAAGAAATGTAATATCTTGGCAAGCTGTCAATGTTTTGCCATAACTCTATATGAACATGGATGAATTAGACATTTCTGACAAGATAGAAGACATTTTCCACTGATGGAAGTCATAATTACTTTCCACCAACATTTATTTTTTAAATATAGTTCTCATGAAGAGTGAGTCAGAAAGCCTTTCTCTGCAAAGTCAGCAAAGTTCCTTCTCTTCTGCAGCTGAGCCAAAAACTATCTTTGAGTTAAAAGTTCTTGTGTGTCAAAGAAAAGATTCTTGTGAACAAAGCACAACATGCTGTCTTCATATCAGTAGAAAACATGTTAAGAGCCCTGTGAGTCACTGTTTGACACTTTGAGCTGAGAGCCGATAGGCTGAAGCTCATTAAAGATGTGACGAAGGCCATAAATTGCATGGACGCAAAAAAAGCAAAACTAAGGATTTATTTCATTGTTCTATTCGTGTTATGTTGTGGAAGTTATGTAGCCCAGCTTTAATACAAAAAGAGGAAAACTATACACCTATTTATTAGTATACAGTACTTGTGTGTAGTACTTCAGTATGTATACTTGTGTGTAGTACTTCAGTATGTATACTTGTGTGTAGTACTTCAGTATGTATACTTGTGTGTAGTACTTCAGTATGTATACGTTTGTGTAGTAGTACAGTATATGTATCCTTGTGTTCAGTACTTTAGTATTTGTATACTTGTGTGTAGTACTTCAGTATAGTACTTCAGTACATATATATCAGAGTATAGTACTCACAGGCCACACAGTGCTGGTGCAGGAAGCCGGTGCTCTGGTCCAGGATCAGCACTGGCTGCAGACGTCGAGCTGTGCCCACGTCCAGAGGCACCAAGAGGGGGGAGAAATGTGTGAGCGAGGGGGGTCCGGCCTGGAGGACAGACCCAAGACCCGGGTTGAACAAATATACTCACATTATAAGTTGGAACAATATCTGAACTCTAAAGTTGTTAAAGTTATAGTAGTCGTTCTCTGTAGTAGTAGTAGTTGTAGTAGTAGTAATAGTAGCAGTAGTAGTAATAGTAGCCGTAGTACTTGTAGCAGTAGTAGTAATAGTAGCAGTAGTACTTGTAGCAGTAGTAGTAATAGTAGCAGTAGTACTTGTAGCAGTAGTAGTATTAGTAGCAGTAGTACTTGTAGCAGTAGTAGTATTAGTAGCAGTAGTACTTGTAGCAGTAGTAGTAATAGTAGCAGTAGTACCTGTAGCAGTAGTAGTAATAGTAGCAGTAGTACTTGTAGCAGTAGTAGTATTAGTAGCAGTAGTATTAGTAGCAGTAGTACTTGTAGCAGTAGTAGTATTAGTAGCAGTAGCAGTAGTCGTAGCAGTAGCAGTAGCAGTAGTAGTAGCAGTAGTAGTAGCAGTAGCAGTAGCAGTAGTACTTGTAGCAGTAGTAGTATTAGTAGCAGTAGTACTTGTAGCAGTAGTACTTGTAGCAGTAGTAGTATTAGTAGCAGTAGCAGTAGTAGTAGCAGTAGCAGTAGCAGTAGTACTTGTAGCAGTAGTACTTGTAGCAGTAGTACTTGTAGCAGTAGTATTAGTAGCAGTATTAGTAGTAGCAGTAGTAGTAGCAGTAGTAGCAGCAGCAGTAGCAGTAGCAGTAGCAGTAGCAGCAGCAGTAGCAGTAGCAGTAGCAGTAGCAGCAGCAGTAGCAGTAGCAGTAGCAGTAGCAGTAGCAGTAGCAGTAGCAGTAGCAGCAGCACAAACCTGAGCAGGGAGGCCCAGAGTGATGTTGGGTGAGTTCTTTGGAGACGGCAGAACTCTGGTCGTCTGGGATCATAAACATACTGTATTTTGCATGTGTCAGAATGAGCTCATTCATCAGTATTTTATCGTTCCTGGTCATTTTCAAACGAAAATTAAAACTAGAACTTTTAGAAAAATACAATTCGAGGTCGACAGTAGCTCAGTTGATAGAGAATTGGCCTTTGAGCCAGAAGAACATGGGTTCAAACCCTCCATCGACTCCCACTGATGTCTGCTGTCGCTGTGTCCTTAGGCAAGACACTTCACCCCCATTGCCTAGAATGAGTCTGGTGTGTGTGTGAATGGTTGGTGGTGGTCGGAGGGGCCGATGGCACATACTGGTTGAGTCGCTTCTGTCAGTGTGCCCCAGGGCAGCTGTGGCTACAGTAGTGGTTTATCACCACCGTGTATGAAGTGAATGAATAATGACACATGTGAAGCGTCTTTGAGTGTCAAAAAAAGTGCTGTATAAAACTGATACATTATGATTATTATTAATGCAACACACTGCTGTACCTCATGTGACAGAGTGGTGGCGCTGTCGTTCAGCAGGCTGTCACACGAGCTGCTCTCAGACACTGAAGACTCTGTGGAACAAATACTATGCATCACATTTGAATGCTTGACTGTTGTGAAAAGCTGTCTTTTGATGAATTGTGCTATACAAATAAACTTCCCTTGCTTTTAACAATACCAGGATTGTCACAAGTTAGACAGATGGGACAGAAGAGGCGTTAGTGCCAGAAGTTCCTGATGTCTGCGCGGAACTGTGGATGGAACTAAACCCACTCCAGGTCTGTTTTAAAGCTGGGGTACCTCACTTTCAAACCAATACATTGAACTACTATTGAAACAGTTTTTTGGCCTCTGTCACATCTTTAGATCAGCTTTTACACTCATTCAACCAATCAGCTCATGGAGAAAACACATTATGTATTTTCTCAAACGATGAAGACAGCATATTGTTGTCTGGTTTGTTCTCAACATTGAAAAGTTAGGTACCGCAGCTTTACTGACAGTAATGTTGTTGCTACATGGATTTGGCTCATTACATCTCCTTTGTGTGGACTTCCTCATATGGAGCCATTATTATAATAAATAGATCCATCGTTACCTAACCCGGTGTCAGCCCTGTGCCGGACTGCAGGGGGCGCACTGCTCTTCCTCTGCAGTGGGTTTGATCTCATCTTCTTCAGTTTCCATTTGAGGATCGGCTCCGACACTGGACACAAACACAAACAAACAGAGAATGTGAAGGCTGAGAAGGGTTGTTTGCAAGAAAAGAAACTACTAAATTTCTCCATTGTGAGATCAGTCAAATTTATCTTATCTTATCTTAAATATAGCCAGCATGTAGTTCCTTAGCAACCGTTGTCATGAACAAAAACTAAGACACACACAAACAGAGGAGAAGAGGCTATAGATTGCCTACATCAACCCTTTTACAAGACGATACATATTGAGCATTATTAAAAACTTAATTCAACATGCAGCTTCATATGTTGCTATGGTGACGACTGAGGCGAGCGTAGTTTAACACTAGGACTCCCACAATTATAAATCTACGAGAACTCCCAGAGCCATCATTTTGACTGAATATATTTGATTTTGACTACATATTCTGGGAGTATTAATACAACAATAGCAGCCACTAAACCCTGTTTCCACCAGCTCTACTTGGCCTTACTCCACTCGGCTCCACTCTCCCTGGTACGGTCGGGTACCATATCCTGGCAACCTGCCCACAACAAACCAGTATCCGGGGAATGGTAACCATGGCTTCAGCAGCAAACAAGACAGTGGAAATGTTCCCAATCGGGATAGAGTAGAGCCCAGTCGAGTAGAGTAGGGTCGAGTAGGGCTGGTGGAAACAGGGCTTTGTTCAACTATGAGGAGAACTTCAAAGGTTTTCTCTCTGCTCTTCACCAACAGGATACTCACCCGTCCGGCGCACTGTCCTGCGGCCTGTACTGGCGTCAGACACTGGAACTCTGCACAAAACAAATTCCATAATTTTTTTTATTCAACATCACATTTGCCATTGATTTAACCGTGTCCAAGTACATTGGAATTTTTGGAATCTTTTAAAATGAGGAATAAAGGGCCAGACATTTCCTCTCGAGTCGTTCCCAGGCCAGCTGAGAGTGGATTTTTCCCACTGTGGCTCCATCATTTCTTGACATGTGTTGAAAGGCTGAGTCAACTCGGGACAGGTCAAAACAAACTTCAGTCTTTTAAAATAAGTCTTCTGAAGTCAGAGCAGTGCATCCAGTTTATCTACGGCAAGTTTATCATCCATGGGGAGCGATACATTCTCAAACATATTTTTTTCAAGTTTACAACCTTACAGGAAAGTGCAACGTGTGTAACAGCCCAAACTCCTGATGTCACGCGGCTTTTTACAGTGTCAAGTATTGTCCGTCGTGTGAATTGTGTGTAGTTTTATAACCTTCTTCATGTAAGCAACATTCTATGAAACAGTTAGGTTGTTTCATAGTCCTAAATAACCCTAACCCTAAATATACCGCTATATATATATATACACTGACCATGAATTGAAAAAAGACTAGGTGGTTCAGTGTGTGAAAGAGACAGGTTTTTGGTTGAAATGCCTGTATTTTTTGTGTTGTGGGAATAATGCTCCAATGACCAGTTTCAATCAAGGCTCACCTGAACACAGCTCTGTCCACAGGGGGCGCTCTCTCCAGGTTGGGATGGCGACTCATGATGTGCTCACGGAGGATCTTCTTCACCTCTGCACCTGCGCACACACACATGCACATGCACATGCACACACACACGCACACACACACACAACACACACAAGCGCACCAGCAGAGGGCGCACTGATTAGTCATTAAACAATATGTTCATGTGAGATCACAACATTCCAAAGAGCCTATAGTTGAGGTGTAGGGCAGCTCAATCTTTCCTGGTAACTACGGTAACTACGGTAATTGTCAAGAGTCAGATTTCTAGTTTTATTTTATAGCTAATTTCTCTATAATCCCTGGGCTAATCCATATTATTTAGGTCTCTTTCTTTTCTGTGTCTGTAAGCGGTGACAATATTCAGAAACATATGCATGATCTTGGCCAGGAGAGAGAACTTTCAGAATAATATGGTGGCTTTGTGAGGCTAATCACTGTCAAATAACAATCTGGCAAAACACTGTAAAAGAATTCTAGAAACTGAACCTAACCTGTTATTAAAGAAACATGTCTGCGGACTCCACATGTGATGAAGGAAAACATTTAGGATCTACATTGTAATAGTTCATGTTTCTCTGTTTAAATGTGACTCACTCTGGTCGCTCCGGTTTTTGCGTGTTTCGTCCGTCGTGTCGACCTCCGAGTTTGGCTGAAATAAAAACAGAAGCAGAGAAGACTAGGTACAAGTAAACAAGGGATGAATAAGAGATGTTATATCTACAGAAAATACATTTTTAAACACATGGAAACAACAGCAAGTACTTCCTTCGACAAAAACTAGTCAAAGGTATTTGGTTGAAATTAATAAATTGAAATTCATTGTATTAATATAAATCCCGAAATATGATGCATTATTGTTGTCCCTAAACATGATGAAGAGACTAATTACTTTGGAACGTCATGTTTTAGAATGCGGAATCGTTTCAGTTCCTTTTTATTTATTCCTTTCATGAAAATGCTGTTGCACTTTTCAGCTTCATAACATACATAATATACATACGTTATATATTTGAAGGACACATTTCCATGATTGGAAAGAAGCAGAGAGGAAGGAAAAAATGTGTATCTTTATCTGCTCGTTTAATTTCCCCTTTAGTTTCATGAAAAAAGGGAATTAAAAAAATGACCCAAGCATGTTATTCTCCACATCTACCACCAGAGGGAGGAGTTGCATTCGGTTTATTTGACATTGAAAATTGCGTGATACAGAACAAGAGATCCATGCCATTGACTGATGAGGGAACAATGTAAAAGTTAGAAGCTTAAAACGTAATAATTTAGGCCTGTTTCCACCAGCCCTATACCTACTACCTATACAGGTCTCTGCACTGGCTTCCTGTGGCTCAGAGAATAGACTTTAAAGCAGCTTTACTTGTGTACAAGTCTCTCCATGGCCTCGCACCGGGGTACATCCGCGACATGTTGGTGCCATATGAACCAACTCGGGCTCTGAGGAGCACAGGGACTGGACTTCTGTTAGTGCCAAGAGTCGGAACTAGACATGGGGAGGCTGCGTTTCAGATTCATGCAGCTAGAGTCTGGAACCGTCTTCCCGAGAATGTGAGACAGGCGTCTACTCTAGCAGTTTTTAAAACTGAACTGAAAACAGTTCTTTTTTGCTGTGCATACAAGTGAATGATTTTATATTTGTTTTTATCTTTAATCTTTTTAATGCGCTATGACTATTTATGATTGTAATCCCTTGTGTGATTTTAATGTTTTACGGTTTTTAACTACTTGTGTGATTTTATATATCTTGTGCTCTTAATCTGTCTTTTTATGTTTACTTAAATTCTAATGTTTGATGATTTATGCATGATGTTATATGGGTTGTGTTGCCTTGTGTAGGAAAGGCGCTCTACAAATAAACGTTGATTGATTGATTGATTGATTGAACTACTCGGCCATTTTTGACAGGTTCCAGGTACGTTTAAGTTCATACTTATTCCTGGGTCCATCCAGGCCGAGCTGGTACTAAACTCTTCTAATTGACAGTGATCGGACAGAGCGCCGTTGGAAGCCATGATTACCAAGGAATTTCCCTGGTCACTGGGGTGTTGTGGGTAGGTTGCTCTGACAAGGAACCAGATGGAAACACAATGAGAAAGAGTAGAGTAGAGCCAAGTAGAGTAGAATAGACTAAAGCAGGGCCAAGTACGGCAGGAGGAAAAGGGGCTTGTTTCGCCTTTAAGAAATAATGTTGTAAAGGGCCAAAACTAACACATTGAATGCATCACATTTGTTCTTTCTCCCGTTCTCCTTTGGGGGGAGGTCTTTTATGGATGTGTTCCATGGGTCCCTGTTACCTGCAGATGTGGACAGTTGGTGGTGAGGGGTCCCGGCCGCAGAGGGGGGCTACACATCATGTTCACTGCCCGATCACAGGGCATCGTTCTGGGCCACGCACGGAGGTCCATGAGCTCCACCGGAGACTGGAGACTGCATCTACTGAAACACAAAGACTTTATTCAAATCCATGTGAACCGTCCACAATCCCCGCAGTTCTCTCAGAGGGAAGAACAAAACTGCTGATTTGCCAAAAGGAGATTGTTGGTTGATAAGACAAAAATAAAAAATGTTCACAAGTATAAAATAGACTCAGTGTATGACCACACTGTGGAAGATTTTAGCCAATAAAGTCTAAATGGAAACAAGGCAAGATTATTTGTATGGCACAGCTCATATACAGGGAAATTCAAAGGTAGCAAAAGAACAGGAAAATAAACATTAGATCATAAATAATCACAGTACATTAATAAGAGTAAAGATACAATCCTTCAGTTGAATGCACAGCTAAACAGAAGAGTTTTTAACCTGGATTTGTCAGAATAGAATTGTCACATTTTCAGGAAGGCTTTCCAGACTTCAACTGTGTGAATCTGAAATGCTGCCCCCCAAGTTTAGTCCCTGTGCTCCTCAGAGTCCCAGCAGGAGGCCAGTCCCTGTGCTCCTCAGAGTCTGAGTGGGTTCATATGGCACTAACATGTCAGAGATGTCCTTTGGTGCAAAGTTAAGCAGAGACTTGCACATAAACACAGGAAGCCAGAAACAGGCTCATGTTTCTTGTCTTGAAAAGTCATATCACGGTTTTACTGACACTCAAAGACACGTCACAATAATGTATTAATACTAAAAATTATAGTGAAACTAAAAATGATACTGAAACTAAAAACTCATTTGTGAAGCATTATTTTAAAAAAATCCCATATTCAGCTATTTTAGAAAAAGCTTGAGGTAGTAGGTTGGCTAACACTAACTCCTTTTAACTATTTCTACTTCCTATACTACCTTGTTTATTATTGTATTTAAATTTGGGGTTTACTTTACTAATTACGGTTCTGTCACAAGTTTTTTGGCCTCCATCAAAGCTTTAAATAAAATTTTTCAGTGAGTGAAAAAGAGAGGACCACCCTCACTCAGCCAATCAGCTCTCATCTCGAAGTGTCAAATAGTGACTCACAGGGCTCTTTCTGACAAGTTTACAAACAATAACATATAAATCAAACATGTTTTACAATAAGATGGAGGCAGCATGTTTTTGTCTGATTTGTTCACAACATTTCCCTTTGACAAGACTCTTTCTGTTGCGATAAAAATACAATATCTATGAAAAAGTCAAGGTAAAGCTGCACTTTCAAATGGTCATGTATCAAAATCGGTATAGAGTGATTAGTGTAATTTCTATTCAATGTAATCCGGTTTGTAATGCAAAAACGTCACGTCAAAAATGTTGATATGAGCACAATTTGACTGCGTTAAAACAAGATTTGCCGATGGGACAAGAACACTCCCTTGGAATGAGATCTTGAAATAAGACTAAATGGCTTAATCCCATTGGCAAATCTTGTTTTAAGACAGAATATACTCAAATGAAGATGAAAAAACCTCATATTTTATAATTTTTTTCAGTGTACCATCAAAACACAGCCCTTACTGTGAGCGGGAGACGCCTTTCCACAGATCTGCTCTGTAATTCTACGAAGCCGACTTCTCTCCTTGTGTGACTAATCTCTCTGCATTTCCAAACTCCAGCAGTGACAGAAAAGATGAGGACGCGGCCGCCTTAAGTGGTGACAAAGCACTTCTTCCCACAGTAACAGTAGTAACAGTAGTGAGGGCAGTGAGGGTAGTAAGGGGGGCGAAACTTCTCCACAGTTTGTGAGTGAGAGGCTGCAGCGGTGAGTTCAGATGGAGGAGAGAAACTGGAGACTGCAGAAGAACGTCCAAGTCAAAACACAAAGGAGCGAGAAGGACAAGACACCTGTGCCTCTGGGGCTGTGGAAAATCACTGGATGAGGCTGGAAAAATGCTGGGAATTTAGGCTTGATCGTTTCTAAAAGGAATTCATTTTGATGAGAGAACAAATATTTTGTATGATCTGAGTGCGTGCCTGGCCTCAAAGGCGACCTCTCACAGAATTTGACCATGCTACAATTGTTTTTGTTATGCACCACAATCTGACCAATGATACATGAATTCTCACAGCATTTCTACAAGTGCATTAGATTTAGTTTAAAATGTCCTAATGTCTGTTGAAGGCGCATAATGTTCCTCAGATCTGGCCCCGATAAAGTCACTAAACAACACAGCATCATGAAAGCAAAGGAGCACATCAGAGAGACGGACATTCGGACATTTATTAATATTTCTGGACAGTGGTCATCCTGAAACAATGGCTGCGTCTGTTTTTATTTTCTGTGTTCGAACTGTTTGATTCTCTGATCTGTTGTTGGTGAACTGACAACTTTGTAAAGTCCTCCAAGACGACTGTTTTTGTGATTTACAAAAATAAATTGAATTCAGTTCAATGTATTTTTGGTCTTACAAAGATCTCACAGCTTAGTCCATTATCTGCAAACTGCAAACTTACAAAGACACGGCTGTCTGCCCAAACGAACAAACCAAACAGGGAGAGCGCTGTGCTCCAGGATGATTTTGGAAGTGCTGAGCTGCAGGAATCACAAAATAGAACTTCATGGACGAGTAGAAATAAGAAAGCCTCTGTTGTCAGAAAGGAGGGCAGAGCTAACAAGTGGAAAAGGATGTGGTCAGACAAGACCAAAATTTAACTTTTGGCCCAAATGGCAAATTTTAGGAATAGCTTGAAACTAATATAACTCATTGCCCTCAGTGCATCATCCCAAGAGTAAAATGTAGGCGTGGCAGCATCATGCTATGGACCTGCTGTTCTTTAGAATGTGCAGAGGTTCTCAGATTCAGATTCAGATTAATTTTATTTGCCATGTGCAGTATGAAAACCACATTGGAATACATTCGCAAAAAGGTACTCTGTGTGCACAAACAGAATAAAGAGCACAATAGATATAAAATACACATACAAATACACTTGAACATAAATAAAAACGGCTAACACTGTGGCACCGATCGACAAAAAAAACTATACAAGGGGAAAAAGCAGCTATTAAAGTGCTCTGTTTAGGCCCCTAACAGCTTGTGGAAAGAAGCTGTTAGCATAGCGAGATGTCTTGCATTTCAGCGAACGATATCTTCTGCCCGAGGGAAGAAGCTGGAACATGGCTTTACCAGGGTGGCAAGAAGAGTCATTGATGATTTTAAGAGCTCGGTTTAAAAGTCTGGATTCATAAAGAACCTCCAGAACAGGAAGCTCACAGCCCACGGTCCTCTTTGCAGAGCGGAGCACCTTGTTTAAAGCTCTCTTTTCTTTATCTGTGATGTTTCCAAACCGCACAGACACAGAACCAACAAGTAAACTCTCAATGGTGCAGCGATAAAAGTTAAGCAGAATCTTAGAGGTAGTGGTAAATTCGCTAAGTTTCCGCAAAAAGAAGAGCCGCTGACGAGCTTTCTTTACAACCTGGTTAGTATTTTTGTCCCATTCCAGGTCGTTAGACAGAGTTAAACCCAGGAACTTGCACTCCTCTACAATCTGCACCTGGGAGTTGTCAATGACAACAGGCATGTGAGAACTGTTACGACTAGTCATAAACAAGTTCACATGTTTTTGCTGTGTTCAGCTGGAGATGGTTTACTTCACTCCACTGAAAAACATGTTCGATCTCTGCTCTATCGTTCATCATTATCACTGATGAGACCAATGATGGTGGTGTCGTCAGTGTATTTGACGATCAAGTTTGAGTCAGAGGAAGACATACAGTCGTGAGTTTACAAAGTAAAGAGCAGAGGACTCAGGATACATCCTTGGGGAGACCCAGTGCTCACAGAAACAACATCAGAAAGACAGACATTGACAGTCATCTCATTCTATAGATGCACACCCAGAGCTACAAAGGAATGTGACCATGTGTCAAATCAATACATTTATTTTTGTCGAGCCATAATACACAACAGCAGTCATCTCGGACTTTACAAAGTTGTCGATACCTCAACCACAGATCAGAGAATCCTAGAGTTTAAACACAGGAAAAACAATAATAACTGATACATGGGTCCATAGCGAGCATGATGACCACTGTCCAGAAATGTTTCTAAATGTTCTAATGGTCCAAATCATCACTGTCCATTTGCAAAGAACAAATAAACAGTGGGAATAAAGAGAAAAATCACATTGAGAAAGGGATCGGCTCCCAGGCTGTAGATCCAGGACTGCCCCAGACAAGGTTCAGACTTAAAACCAATTGAAATTATGCAAAAATACCTGAAAACGGCTCTTCATAAATCCCTGCATTTAATCTGACAGAGTTTGAGTTTTTCGCAAAGGCAAATGGGCAACATTTTGAGTCTCTAGATCCGCAAAGCTTGTACAGCCATAACCCGAAATACTTACTAATTGCAGTAAAAAGAGGTAAGAAGGATTTACTCATATTGTCAATACTTCCGGAAGCCACACTTTTAAAAGAAATGTCACTTCACAGTCGCCTACTTCTTTGCTTACGGTCACATGAATGAAAAATGTGCAAAAGTACCAGTTGTATCAGTCGTAAATAAGTAGTAAGTATTCTTCATTTAGTACTTTTGCAGCCACTGTCGCTCCTACATAACATGATCTTGTGAACCGCGGCTGCCCTGAACAACGTAAACAAAGTGCAGTGAGTGTAAATGTGCCAAGAGGGGAGGGCTTTGTGCGACGGTTCTATTCCCTGTGAAACGCGAGACCCAAACGTGACGCTGCGTCTGCTCTCATGACTCACTGCGGTTTCACTGTAAACGCTGGGAAAATATATACTGTACTTTTGTGAAGGAGGCGCACACAAACAGCACACAAACATGAGACTGACGGATGGGTTTCAGCAGAGAAAGGAGACCCCCCCTCTCCTCACTGATCCGTGGCAAGTGTTTAAAGAACACATGATACATTGTTTGTGCTCAGGAGATGACGAACACCCCCATCTAGTGGTAGAGGGGGCAAATGACATACAGCTGTTTAAGTTGAAATCTAACATGGTGTGGTCTAAAAAAGGGCACGCCGTTGTAGTGA